GATTTTTTTGACTGCCTAATTAATATATCATTATCCAATTCCTTCACAACAAAATGCATAGCATTTGTTATTTTTTTATAAAGATAGTCTATGAATCTTGCTAGCCTTCACCTTTGCATCAGACAAATCTCTCTGGATTCCATTCCATCCTTCTTCATCTCTATAGTGCAACTGTAATGGTGACAAAAAAAGTTTTATTTCTGGGCTAATCCCCCCTCTAGAGGCTGTCTCTCAAGTGTAAAAAATTGTGTTTCTGCCTATACGCTAATATTTCTATTTTAGGGTAAAGGATGCACTTTGTCCCTTCAATATTGCTGTAAAGGATAAAGAAAGAATTAAAAAATATGTGAACTTACACCATTAAATCTTTAGTAAATGTAATACTTTTCATATATTGTGATAGTAAGTCATGTAATATCATAATTATTGCTCAAAATGTTGTAAGTAATATTTCCATCATAATAGCATTTGCAGGTGAGGTTGACGGATTAGAGGAATCTGTAAAGAACTGCCGAGTAAATTGAATGACATAATAGAAAATGTGTTTGCGCTAGAAAAGTTATATACAAGCTTAAAGAACTTTTAGAAGTTTAGAATAATTCGAGAATATACAGTTTCCTAAAAAATTGGCCTGTTCTGTCTTTGTTAACTTGACCATCCGTTGAGACTTGAAGAAAAGATATTTCACCATTAGCAGCAGATGTGATTTCCTGTAATATTGTCTACCTTAAGAGAATGCCAAATTCAGGTGCTGCATTCTTTTAATAAAGGTCTAGTTGCTTTTTTAACCAATACAAGACAAACAGAATTGTAATAGTTATTGTAGCAATAGAGGTGTATAAATGGTTTGACCTGGGGGAACTGAATCCTATGTTTATCTATATTACTGTAATATTATGTAAGAAAATATAATAAAAAGTGTGGAAAACTATATTTTGCCTTTGTTTGTCAGTGGAGAGATCTCTGCATTACTCACAACCGTAATAATCAAGGTGGATAAAGTGAACTTGCTAGATTATAAACTTCTTTATTTTATGAATTTTTATTATTCCTCCAAAAAGTGTATTAAACAATAACTGGGGCCTGTTATGCTGTGGCAGCTGCAGAGTGAGGACTGAAAAGATTGAAGCCCATTGACTTGTAGTGTGATGCTCCTGAAACTGAAATTAAATTCAAACCACAGTATGCCTGTGACTGACACAGAATCTTTTGCAGCATTACCAAGGAAACACAGCACTGGGATTCTAAGGAAGTCTCTCTTAAAGGTTATGGAGCTGAGATGAGTTTTTATATGTCATTATACCCACACAAAGCCCAATGATATCCCATTCTGCTGGCATTTTGGGAATATGCATTCCCAACAAATTTAACAGATGCCTTCAAAATATCCAAACGCATGACACAAGAGCAATATTACTCATAGTACAACATTACAACTATTATATGCTTGCATTTTATTTGTTTCTCTACTTTAAAGGGACAATATAGTCAGCAGAACAACTACAGCTTATTGAATTTGTTCTGGTGAATAGAATCATTCCCTTCAGGCTTTTTGCTGTAAACACGGTCTTTTCAGAGAAAATGCAGTGTTTACATTACAGCCTAGTGATAACTTCACTGGCCACTCCTCAGATAGCTGTTAGAGATCCTTCCTGGGTCATGGCTGCCTAAAATGCATCCAAAAATTCAGTGTCTCCTCCCTCTGCATGCAGACACTGAACTTTCCCCATAGACAATCATTGATTCAATTCAGCTCTATGAGGAGATGCTAATTGGCCAGGGCTGTGTTTGAATCATGCTGGCTCTGCCCCTGATCTGCCTCTTTGTCAGTTTTAGCCAATCATATATGGAAGCATTGTGATTAGATCAGGCTACCACTTCTGATGATGTCAGCAGACTGCTTGTTTTTCTGAGGCAAACACCATGCAGAGTTACTGCTCCAGGCTTGAATACAAGTAAGATTTTGCTATATTTATGGAGGCATGAGGGGCCCTGGGGGGCTAGATGGTGGTTTTAACACTATAGGGTCAGGAAAACATGTTTGTGTTCCTGACCCTATAGTGATCCTTTAATTATTTTAACCTTATTTACATATTCCAAGAGTAGCAACAGTATTTTTTAAATCTATAATATTTTAAAGTTGCAATACATATCTTTCTTCTGTGTGCACACAATATATCTTAGATATCCCATAACTGGAGACTGTGAAATAAAGGAATTTATTAACTAACTTTGTATGCAAGCTTGGAAACCAGTCTTCATTTTTTTAATGTTATGTTTTCATTATCAGAAACATGTTAATTTTTTTTAATGTATACATTTATTTATTTAAGCGGAGAATGGAATTTTAGTATTTTAACATGTATTTGACATTATACTCTGCACACGATGCTCAGTTTAATTTAAGTTGGGGATTTATGAAAAGCCGATACTTCCATTAATTATATTATATTTTTTCCTCTGTACAATTTACTGTGTTATTTGGAGTTGGATGTAAATTTAAAAATGAAGAAATGCTCGTAACTGGACTGGCCATGTCCTCTAAACGGAAAAACAACCCAGGGGTGAAAGAGTTAATAGCAAGAGCTAGATGTATGATTTAATTTTGTAGCTTGTAATAGCTTTGGCAATATTTTGTTATACAGCTGCAGCCTCCTGGTGAAAAGTATCCCTTTTGACTTTCAGAATCAGCGGTGTCTAACACATCACTCAGATGACAGTCATGTAACGCTGCAATCATTAAGTTTGAGACCTTTGAATTTTTAGAAGAGATTTGTCCCTTTCTTCTTCTACATGTCGATTACTTGTTGGCTCATCCAACAGTTAACCCTCTGTTCCTTTACTAATTCTTTGTGTAAGGCAGCATAGTTCTCTCCAACAGGTAGATTTTGAGGGTCATATTTAAACTCTGCATGTGGTTTTAAGCCAATTTAAGCATTAACTTATTCTCACTAAATTTAATCTTCCTACATGTGAGTGGATTAGTAGACATGAGGGCTCTAATCCACACAAAATCTGGAGGGCAATGCAGATTATTTTTGCCCCGACGGTTGGCTTACCACATGCTAACTATGACATGGAATACCACAATGTCAATGGAATATAACAGAAGCTAACAGTCACAATTAACAATAACCAGAGCTTTTAGTGACTAAAACCTCTGCTACCAACTAATTAACCAAAATATGTAAGTGGTTACCCAAATTATAGGCTCCTCTTTAGAGGTTCCGAAGGGCTACCTAGACGACTCTTGTGCAATGGATTAATAAATGTTTTGGAGCTTTGCAAAGCTCCTTCTCATTCCTTCCATAACACACAAATAATAGCAAAACCCTTAAATAATCCACTAGCCCTATCATCATTTTGTTACTGAACATTTTGCAATGAATATATCTTAGCTCTTTTAGTTGATATCATGGCTTATTCGCACTTCTGTTGGATGGCCATCTTTTGCCTTCTTTGGTCAGAATTACCACTTATTTACTAAGACGATGCTCAATTTGGTTATTCATAAACATACCCGAGTCTTTGATCACCAGCAAAATTCATGGTCAAATAAACTGTGATTCTGACAAAAGCTGGCTAATCACGGTTTGGACTGGAAGGATTGCTTAGATAAAATGAGGGTTATTTATATAAAAGTGTTTGGACAAGTGGTCTAAATCACTAAACGTGAAGCAGTTACCATGGATACAAGATGAAGCAACAGCCATGTTGCGTTAGTGGCATCTCTCCTTTACATACTTGCACCACTTTCCAGTACACTTTCAATAGGTAACCCAGTATGTCTCACCAATAAGGCAGTATAACTGTGAAATAAGCAACACAACGAGGATGAAAGCGAAACAAATCTATTAATCGATAAGGCACAAAGTAAATAAAATAATCAATAACATAATAAAATAAAGCAAACATGAGGACACAGTCCTGGGTACAATGCTGGGTTCAAGATACAAGTGACCACAGCATCCAAGGTATGTGTTGGTATCTGGAACAGGGTGTTGGCCTCTTGAACAGAGACAACAGCCAAACATTCTAGCAAGCAACCAAAACCATAGCCATTAACCAATAACATAAGTTCAGGCCAAGGACTAATGGGCTGGTCTGTAAGAAATAGAACTGTAATTAGTTGGAGAGAACCAGCTGGGAACTGTTCCTTTCAGTCTCAGTGCAATAACCTCGAACACCACCACAGCAAATTAGTGGCACCCACAGGTACTACACCAGACCCAAGAGATTCATAGAGATTTAAAACCCAGAAAGCTGCAAGAAATAAAAGATGTATAAATTACAAAATAATACACAAAGAGTCTGTAATACATCTATTCCTTTTTTTTATAATAATTATAATAAAAGAAGACAGTTTTCCTCTCAGGATTTTGTTCAGAAAACTGTGAGGTAGCATCTTCCTCCTGCACCAGAAGACTGTCTTGATGGGCAAATTTTACATATGGTTTACCTTTTGCCCTTATTACACTGTATTTTTTCTGACAGCCTAAGATGCTGGAACCGGTTCATCAAGTCTCAGTATTATAAAAAAAATCTGATAATCCTGTCAAAAGGACTTCTTACTAAAGTATGAATGGATGGTAAATTAAAACAAATTTAAATATTTGCTAAAATAGACAAACTGAATTTAGCTTACATGGCAAAAATTTTTAATTCATCTACTTTAGACTAAAATTTGAAATTCACATTGAATTCACTTTTACTTCTTGGGAATGAATACCATAGTGGATACCCCTGATAATGTTAAAAGGCAGTAAAAAAAAAAAAGAGAAAATTCTATGGATTTGCAAAGTCTCTCACAAATTTAGCGATATAGATTTATTGTTATCAATAAATTCAAAGAGATGTACTTATGCCATAAAAAAGCTCATAAAAGTGAATAAATGCAAGCTTTTTAATTAGGAGATTAGGATTCCTTAATTAGTGATGTCGCGAACCGTTTGCGAACTTGCCGTGAACGGTTCGCCGCGGTTCACCACGAACCGTTCGTGGCGAACTCCGGTCAGCTGACACATCCCTGCCAATCTCCGGCTGACCCTCCCTCCCATACCCTCCCAACTCCTGGACAGCATCCATGTTGAAGCTGCCTTCAACATGGATGCTGCCCAGGAAGTAGGAGGGACCGGGAGGGAGGGTCTGCCGGAGATTGGCAGGGATGTGTCAGCTGACCGGAGTTCGCCACGAACCGTGGCTAACCGTTCGCGGCAAGTTCGCGAATGGTTCGCGACATCACTAACCTTAATCAGAGTGATTTAACAAATGTGTCAATACAACATTGATTTAACAACACCTAACTTAATTTTATATATTAAAATTCCTGAATTTAGGTATCACAATTAATTGGAGTATAAAATAAAGCAAATCACATTGAGATTCCCTTGTAAAACAAATGCATTTATTGAATGTTAATATTGTAAAAATTGCTAAATTTCTTTTAAAAAGTTGTGTATTTGAATTACCATGCCAATCATAGTTTTAATCATGCAAATTGCAGCTATTAAACAAATGTAGTTTATTTTCTTAATGGGTATTAGAGCTCAAACTGTAATATAAAATAAATGGTTTCATTATGAAACACAAAGATATTTCCTTGGAGATTTATTACTGGTGTGAAAAGTAACACTTGGTTTTAGAGTGATAAAAAAACAAACATGTTAAACACAGGTTTTTAAATAGATGTTGGTGATGCAGTAAAGACGTTCGTCTTTTCACACTAAATACAGATAAAGGTAGTTGAAGTTAACAAGATATTTGTAGAAGATAGCTATATTATAGTGAGGAACAACACCACTGAGAAATGTACTAACTAATGCAAGATTTCCTTGTATTAAAATAGAAAAAGCATGACGGAAAAAATAGTAATTAAATGAGCCATCATATACAGACATTACAAAACAAGACGGCATTTAATACTGTGCCACATCAGGGTTTGCGACTAAGTGGCTACTAAAAAATACTGGGCATACCTCAATACTCTGGGTTGTCTATTTTTGCAAATGGTATGCAACAATGGGGTTAGATTTCATTCCTGAGCTGCCACTTGGTCTCAAAGACAATATAAGCAATTCAATGTGTAAAAACACAAAAGGGCAAACCCCTATATTTGACCCTGTAACTTTCCAAAACCCCATAAAACGTTTACATGGGGGGGTACGGCTGTACCCGTGAGACATTGTTGAACACAAATATGTGTGTTTTATTGCAGTAAAAGCTAACAGTATTAGAACATTCACAGTTAAAATGTCATGTAGAACTAAAAAAATACCAACATTTCTTAATGTCTCACATTTTTTTTAGATTGTATTCATATATAAATATTTGACGTGAAATGAAAGCCCAGTTTCTCCTGAACAAAATTATATATATAATAATTGTGGGGGTACTTAATATGAAAGAGGTAAATTATGGTTGAACAGACATGTAGTCAATTCCCAGATATTGTTTTGATTTGCCTCCACCCTTAAGGGGTTAGCACAACCTGCACAAACGTAGCTTTCAATAGAGAATGGAATGACCTCACAGAGGAATACATAGGTTTCCCCTCAATTATTTTTTTAATGTGTTTTTAATTAACAGGTTACTGTACAAAGAAGAATTCTGTGAGGTACGGGAAAATTGTTTCAGGTTATATCTGCAGTATTAATGAGATGCTAATCTTTAAGAACTACCATTTATTCACCTCCTTCAGGACCATTTCTTTTATTCTTGGTCAAGGACAAAAGCAATTAAGTCATTTTTGTTATTTCTTTTCACAAATTTTTTTTTCTCCCAATTTCGTATTTAAAGCACATATGCTTGTTTTGTTTATTACGCATAATAAGGCTAGCTCACAACATAACGCAGCACCCTACTTATTTTTCTTAAATGAGCGGTCACCCGATTGCATACCTATGACCCCCCTGCCCGCTAAAGTGCCACTAGCCAGTTAACGCAAGCCATACCTTCACCAGGCGTTGAACCCTTAGACCCGGCAATAGACCTAACGGCTCCTTTCTACCCCCCTTAAATATAGGACCGGCAGACAGATAAAGCATTCCCCACACTAAGATATACCATTAGCTGCTTAAGCTGACATGCAAAGCATATATAATTGCCCCACTACAGAGATAATTAAATAGAGGCTCCCAGCTTCGTACTTTCGGTATGTCAGACTTAATATTATAACACTCTACCCACTCTGCTATACCACGTATACCGTCTTTACCGTGTTTAATGCTAAATCACTTACAAAAAATGTGCAGAATATTCAATTGCCATGTTGGAAAATGCATATGACTGTTCAGCCCATTTGCCGACCAGCCCTACCAAAAACACCCCTGGTGTTAGAGCCACGGAAGACTTTCCGCATAGATGTCCTCAGAGTCTGCCACATAATGGGCCCTTTTGGACATGGGTTTGGCTGCATCGTGTTCCATTAGGAACGTTTTGGAGAAGACCGTCTCCATAGAAGCAGCTACTGCTGTAGCAATCATGGCTGGCAAATCCGATGGAGCCAGTGACTCTTCCATGGTCACTAATAAAATAATACGGGGCTCACCCGAGGGCACTAGAGCGTGAGGGCAGAAGTGTATTGGCACGAAGGGTAGGAGAGCTCTGGGGAACAGGGGGGTGGTTTCCAGGCAGGTGTAGGTTGACCTGTATTAAACCCTGCGGCTGGTAGGCTTGTACAGACAGATGGAGAGGCTTTGGTAAATCACTGAGGCTCATCCAGGAGATCAGAATCCTGCAAGGACAGGTCCATTCATCAGAACAGAAATGGGAGCTCACCCTGACCAGATTAAGGGATAAACCCAACTGGATTGAACCAACCCCGAGTGCAGAGCACTCACCTGGAACCTGGTCCCACTGGTATCCGCTGAAAAGGAGTACAGGCGTAGTCCAGTCTGACAGGATACAGCATTATGTAGCAGTAACAGTCACACAGACAAACTGGTCAAACCAAAATGGCCCATGTGCTGCCCGCCCACAAAATCACGGGAAGACAAGCACCTCACCGAAATTTGTGAGGGGAACCAAGGTAAGGAATAAATAACCCACAGGGAAAAATAATAGAAGCCACCCATGACTGAGCTAAAGCAGATGAAATAAGTGTAGGAATAAACAGACTTCCAGTAACAAACTAGAAGACAGTAAATATAAGGTGAATAGAGAACAGAGAGAGGACTTGTGATGCAGCAGCAAAGAAAGAGGAAGTGCTTCAGTGATACATGCCTATTATAACCTTTGCTTGTTTATGATTGATTCTCAGTTTTCTCATTACTTTTCTTTGATGCTATGGAGTTAGTAAAGAAAGATTATGCAAAATATGAAGCCTCCTGTCATGTGGTAAAAGTACAAATTTGCTGGTTTATTTCTATAGATTGCTTTAAGTGAGGCCTGGAAATCAGACGTAGACCAACAAAAGACATCATTACATATTTCATCTTTTTTTGTACATATTTTTTTTTTTTTTAACCATAACCTACGACTCCTATATAACCAGATCTCATAGCAAGTATAATAAATGTGACTGTAATTAAAGAATAGTTTAGGTATTAGTGGATCTCTTTGGAACTATAATATTCTGGATTATACGGATTACTGCTTTACCCCTTAAGGACCGAGGACGGTTCAGGACCGTCATCAGCATTTTTGCACGGTCTTATGTACTTACCCGATTGCCGTCATTCCCCCGGCGGCGATCAGCATTGCTCCCATTGTGGGGAGACTCCCTGCAGCCCAGACAGTCTCCCCATGGCAGATTAGGACCCCTGGGGCCATGTGATCGCTCAACAGAGCGATCACCTGGTCACAATAGGTGTCCATGTGTCTGCCTGCAGGGGGACTGTCTGTGCTGACAGGCAGTCTCCCTGCTAGTGTAAACTCAATAAAAAAATAAAAGTTAATGTTAATTAAAATTTTTTTATATATGTGTATATAAATATGATATATAGACATTTATTATATCTATATAAGATATGTCTATATATCATATATATAATGTCATACTAAGTGTATTTTTATATTAATATGTACATATATTAATATAAAAATACACTTATAATTAAATTACACACGTATATATATAATATATATAGTAACTATATATATTGTATATATATATTATCATAAAATACAAATAAGTAATTTAAAATTAAATTAAAAAATGTAAAAATAATTTAAAAAATTTAAAAAATTATATATCTATATGAAATGTTATTCTAACTGTATTTTGATATTAATATATATATATATATATATTTATATCAAAATACACTTAAAATGAAATAGTATATTTCTCTATGTATATATAAATAAATAAAAATAATACGAATGTCCATATACAAAATTACATAAATAATTATATAAATATACACGTAGACTTCAAATATATAAATATGCTTAGATATTTAAATTCTATGTGCGTGTTTATGTAATATTTTTACATAATTAAGTAATTTTATTGATTGCAATTTGAGGGACCTGCCTGCCAACCCAGGCCGAAAGTCCAGAGAATTTAATTTGCTAGCACTGTATTTTACCCTGTAACGTTCTATGACACCCTAAAACCTGTACATGGGGGGTACTGTTGTACTCGGGAGACTTCACTGAACACAAATATTAGTGATTCAAAACAGTAAAACATATCACAGCGATGATATTGTTAGTGAAAGTGACTTTTTTTGCATTTTCCACACACAAACAGCACTTTTACTGATGATATAATTGATGTGATACGTTTTCCAGTTTTGAAAAGTCTCCTGAGTATAACAGTACCCCCCATGTACAAGTTTTATAGCGTTTTTGAAAGTTACAGGGTCAAATATATGGGTCAAATATTTTTACATTGAAAATGGCCAGGTTGGTTCCGTTGCCTTTGAGAGCGTATGGTAGCCCAGGAATAAGAATAACCCCCATGATGGCATTCCATTTGCAAAAGAAGACAACCCAAGGTATTGCAAATGGGGTATGTCCAGTCGTTTTTAGTAACCACTTAGTCAGAAACACTGGCCAAAATTAGCGTTCAATTTAGTTTTTTACTTTTTTCACACACAAACAAATATGAACGCTAACTTTGGCCAGTGTTTGCAACTAAGTGGCTACTAAAAAAGTCTGGACATACCCCATATTGAATACCCTGGGTTGTCTACTTTAAAAAAAATATGTACATGTGGGGTGTTATTCAGAGATT